AGGAAAACATTTTGAACGTGGAAAGTGCTCTGTTTGGTCTAAAACGTAAAGTTTCGACAAACCAGTTGTCCATTAAAGACTTTTTTGGTAAAAAGAAGTAACTTTGAAAGAGAAACATTGTTTTTTTTAAAAATTTTAATGCTTTCCCGCATCTATCGTTTTCCCGCATTCATCGTTTTTATTTCCCACCCCCGCCGAAAACGATGCATCGAGGTTTCACTGTATACTTTAATCCTTTTGTGTTGTTTTGCCACATTAAAACTAAATCTTGAAAATTTTGTAAACAATATTTCTACCCAGATTTATATTATGCAACAAAGATTTGTCACACATTAAACTTCTTTACACCTTGAAGCAGATTCAGTTTACTTTGGTTGTGGGGAGGAGACATGACTAGCCTAAAATCATTGATTGGTCTTGCACTGTGAAAATGGTCATGCATAACTTACTGTGATTTTTCGGTATTTAATGGGCTAAATTGTATATTATTATGTCTATGTTCTGATACTTTATGTTATTTAAACATAAACATTTAAAACTGCCCAATAAATCTTTGATAATGGTAATACCATAATGTATGAATGGTTCACTGTTGTCGGCGAAAATGTTGCATGTTTTTTTTGTTTTGTTTTTTTGCAGGTGGTGCGAAGTCCAGATGGTGAAAGTCGTGCTTACTCGATTGGCCAATTGAGTATCCAACGTGCAGCAGTATGGGTGTTAGAACATTACTACACAGAATTTCCCATTTACAATCCATATCTTGAACGTTTGCCTGTTTCCAAATCTCGAAAAGGAGGCTCCAGTTTCAAATTTTATGATGTAGATGGGATGAATAACTCTTCAATGCAGGTAAAATATATTTTGTTAGGTACAGATTGATAGTTTGTACATGTATGGTCATTGAGTAGGTAATTGTGAAATTTAAGGTTTTTATGGCATTGCGCAATTGCTTTTTGGTCTTACCGGTTATGATGCCATGTAGTCTTATAGGTTGTTATCGACATTAATCTCCATCTTGTGGATAGGAGATTGAGATTAAGTTCCTCCAACGCATTGGTTGGTAACTTTGTGCAAGACTGCATAGTGTCATACGAAAATAGACAACAGTCCAAATGTTGGATATTATCTGTTTCCTTTGGTATATTATATATTAATATTAGTGATGATTGATTGGGTTTAAAGTAATGGCATTTTGAATTCTGTGCTAGTATGCTAACTGCTAAATCTGGTAGCCAAGAATATGCGGGCAGTGCTATAAATGGAGTTATAATAATTTTATCACTTTTCATTTATTAACATGTTTTTATTATTATAGCAGAGTCAGTCTCGTGCCATGTTGGCTGCTCATGCCCGTCGTAGGGATTCCAGCCACAATGAACGTTTCTACGAAGAACATGACTATGAACGTAGAGTCAAGAAACGCAAAGCACGCCTCATTACTGCAGCAGAAGAGGCTTTTACCCATATTAAACGTCTACATAATGACCAAGGTTGGCAAAATATGCAAGGTACAAGATACTACCCATGAATTTGCTTGAAAGGACAGAAGAATATGGAAACTAACTCACTTGTTCATTCTGTTGTGACTGAGCATGGAGATTAAAAATTCCTAATACCAAAGCCTACCATCAGCATTGTCACCTTGGTTTCTCAATAGTTATATCCCAAGAGGTTTTCAAACCAGATTTATGTATTATTCTTTGTTGTCTCTGTCTAAGGTATGTGTCATGCTGTTTGCAACCTTCATTTAACTATTCTGACAGTACTTGGTGACCTGCGTAATTCATGACTTTCCTGGTTATGTAAAATTCTTCATCTACAGGTGCACCAGAAACACCTGACAGTTTTTGAAATGTAATAACTTTTCAAAGCGGAATGGAAATCCATGCTGTGCAGCTGTAATTGACTCACTTCTCATAAACAGCTCCACAGCCGCAATGTGGTGTTGCAACTGACCAGTGCTCCATCTCAACTCCAGAGAGCACTCTACATGACGATTGTTAGTGTGGAAGTGCAGCGTAGCGGGAAAGATGGTAATTACATTTCAAAAACCGTCAGGTATTTCTGGTGCACTCTGTATATTGTGACCAAATATTTTAATCAACATTCATTTTAAAATACTTGCATCAGAGTGCTGTCCTTTTTTGAATCACAAATTCAATTGGTAAAACGATTGTTTTATGTTTAGGGCTTTGGAAAGTAGGCTAGATAATAAACACTTTTGAACTGGGTAATGAGGAGCATGAACTTATTCTGCCTTAATCTCACCATGAAGCATGCTGTTGGTGTTATTACCAGATATTTATTTTGAAATATTTTTCTGTGATGATAATTTGTAATTTTTCTAATATGAAATTAATATAAATAGTTATGAATCAGAGAGTGAAAAGTATGTTGAAAATACTAACATTTTAATTATTTTATGTTATTGTATCAGTATTTACATTACTGTAACAATTAAGAACGTCTACCACAGATTATTAATTTAAACAGAACATTGAAACTATGTGACTATCAAACCTTGTCTTTTCTGAATTCATTTCTCACAAAAGAGGTATGTCTTGTGCTTTTGAAACATTACTCTAGTGTTGACAGCATGTGGTTGCTTACTTACAGTGCCTGCAATACCAATGGACCCACAGGAAGCCGCTCAAGCAGTGTTTCCTTCTTTGGCTCGAGCACTGCAGAAGTACTTACGAGTCACACGACAGCAGCCTCGTCACTCTGTTGAATCAATCCTGGCACATTTAGCAGATTGCCTTAGTCATGATCTCACACCTCGAGCCTTTCTCGAGCCTTTTCTTGTTCCTGCACCAGTGCTTCAGGTATACCTTGATCTGTAAATAGAAAGCTTAAAATAAACTGGCATTAGGATAAAAGACTTAAAAATTCTACCATTGTAGAGACTCATAAATGATTTATTTGACCTATCAGTCAACTCTCCATTTTCAGACTGATCTACCCATTCTTGAATGCTTTTAATTAGCCCTTTCATTATTGTGATGTCTGTGTTTGAGTTGGTGTCACATATTACAGTTAAGATAGCTGCTGATCAGGATTAAATAATGTCCCATGCCTATCCTTTGGCACTCATGAAAGAAGTAATTATGCAATAGATTCCTGTAATGGTTCCATTCTTACAACAACAGAGCACATCCTCAGGTAGCGGATGAAAGAGAAGGCTTCCAGATATGGAGGGTAGCTGTGAATATGTTGAATAAGCAATCACATACGACCAACTTGGGGTTAGTTGGAGGGCCTAACAACTCTTTACTGTGAAAAACCAGCATGTTATAAAATGGTACCCAGATTTCATAATTGTTTTACTAGATATTAGGATGCTCAAATTAAGGAGTATGAAATGGGAATGAGAAATGCTTGTAAAATTTTGATTGGAAAGCTTAAAGGGAAAAAAGACCACTCAGAAAATCTGGGCATATATGGGAAGATATTAAAGTGGATTATAGTGAAACAGGATGGAAGGCTGTGGGCTGGATTCTTTTGATACAGGATAGGAACTGGTGGTGGTCTCTTGTGAACAAGGTGATGAATCTTCAGGTTCCATAAAGAGTGGGAAATTTGACCAGCTGAGGGTACTGTCAGCTTTTCAAGAAGGATTCTGTTCCATGTAGTTACTTAGTAAATTCCTTCATCTTACTACTGGTTCAAAATTTTAATTAACAGATGGTTTTTACTTATTCTTTTCTTTTTAAGTAAAAGAAGCATTGTATTCTGTTTGCTGTTATTTGTTTCTAGGAATACGTTGTTTTGTTTATTTGTCATCAGTCTTTCGACTGGTTTGATGCGGCCCTCCATTTTCACCTATCTTGCGCCAATCTCTTCATTTCCACATATTTTTTGCAGCCCACATCCTCAAAAATCTGCATCACATATTCCAATTTTTGTCTCCCCCTACAATTCTTCCCTTCAACTGTTCCTTCCATTACCAAATTAACCAATCCTGGGTGCCTCAGAATGTGTCCCACCATCCTATTTCTTCTTCTGGTAAGATTTTTCCACAGACTTCTTCCTTCACCTATCCTGTCTAAGACCAGCTCATTTCGTACTTTATCAGTCCACATAATTTTCAGCATCCTTCTATAGCACCACATTTCAAATGCTTCTATCCTTCTTCTTTCTGGCTTTCCCACTGACCATGTTTTGCTTCCGTATAGTGCTGTGCTCCAACATATAACTTCAGAAAAATCTTTCTTAATTCCAGGTCAATGTTTGACACTAGTAGACTTCTCTTTTTGAAGAAGGCTACACTGAAAACATACTGTGGCACCAATACATGAGATGCTCATTTTGTATGATTGTGTTATCATTTTAGACCAAGTAAAGGTAAAAGGTAACATCCCTGTACCAGATGATTTTTTTCAAATATTTTACATTTACAGTGATATCTAGTTATAGTGTTACTACATGTGTATATGTGAGTGTCAGATATAACTAGATTCCATCAACATTTTAATGTCTTTCAGAATGAAAAGGAGCAGAAACCTGTGCAGACTTGGGCTCTTATTTGTGAAGAGTTGCTATCGCGTCCTATTAGTCATGGGATCACATTCCAATTGCGTCAGAATGATGTGTCACTCCTGTGCCATATACGTGCTTTGCCTCACTTCAATATAACAGAAGAGGTTGTTGACCCCAAATCAAACAAATTTGTTCTCCGCCTCAATTCAGAAACATCTGTCTGACCCCAGGCATGAAAAGACTGTTCTAGTAAGTTATTAGCTCTCAGAAGTAATGCTCATGCACTAGTATATAATGGTAGACTGTAACATAAATTATTAATATTTGCATTTAATATAATTTAATGTAAAGTATTCATGAATTGTTTTTGCTGTGCAGAAACTTTATCATTACCATATTGTAATTTTTATACAATCCAAGTTAATGTGCAATCAATACTATATTTAAGAAAGTCAGTATAAGACCGAGTACATTTATTCAGGTGAAGAAATTTTAGTATAATGGAAATGTAGGATAAGTTCCCAAAAATGAAAAAAAAAAATTCTGTTTTTAATTTGATATTTATGCATACATTTCTAGTACGTATGTCATATATCAGATTGTAAAATACTCTTTAAATTCCATAATCATCTTATCCCTTTTGTTAGCATTCAGATAGTCTGTAGTCTACCTACACTGGTTACTTAAGTGGCCCATCCACGTACGAGTCTGGCTTGGCTCGGGTTCCATTGAGCCAAACTCGTTTGTGGGTGTGGTGTCACTAGCCGAGTCTGCTATGCAAGTCAAGCTCGCCGAGCCAGACTCGCAAGTCAGACTCGTACGTGGATGGGGCGCTTTAAACTTGCAGTGATGCTATTTTCTCAGACTTATTTACAAAACTGCTGTACTTTCATTCATGTGGAAAACAAGAAGTTGTTTATCGTTGTGTAATCTACAAGGCAGCCGCTTCAGTATTAAATGAAATATGCCATCTGTTGGTCACAATCATAACTTGATGTTAAATGGAATGGATGGTGTTTTATCTCATGAGCAGACTTCAAAGCAAGTGCAAGAATTGAATTATTAATGGACACTTATACTATGGTGGGTACTTAATGTAACAATTGTACCAACATGGGCTGTGTGACATAGTTTGTCTATAAAAAGTATATATTATTTTAAATTCTGAGTGTTACAGACATTTTTGATGTATTATGATTTATAGTTTTCTGGTTTTAGCAACCCTGGTGTTGTAGACAACTAATGTCAGTTTAGATCAGGTTCATTTCAGGAGTGTTTAATTATCCGGTTCAGGCCAAGTCCCTACGGTGGTTTGGTCTGCATGAAATTGTGTAGTTCATTCCAGTTTTCAGTTAATAGTCTGGTTAAGTTCATTTTCAAAGTTTCTATAGCCGTTTTCCATTTATAAGGTTCTAACATACATGTACTCAAACTTCCTTATCCCAATGTTGTTTTCTTTACCTAATGTTGATTAATGAACTGAATATTAAAGAAATAGCTGAATGCCTTTTATGAAACACATCTTCAAATTTAATTACAGCAACTTAGTAAAGTGCACTTCTCTAGTATGAAAGCTACTTACTTCAGATATTGTTTGTAGTGTTTTAACATGACATTTTACCAAATAGAATCTCAAAACTGTGTAAGAATTTAGTAATAGGAATGCTGTATTATTGACTGTAAGATGCATTTTTGTAATTTGTCTATTATTAGTATTATTCTAATACTAATCACATTTATATACTTTTTAATCAGAGTGCAAATGTCTCAAGAAACTATTGTGTATATGAATGACATTATTATAACTATTCTACTTAAAGCGTGTTAATCATTTAACCATTTGCTGCACATTATTTTTTTACCTCTTTCCTAAGAGAATGCAATTTTAAGGTAGCAATTTAACTCATGAATATTAGATTATTATGTACATATATAAATAAAAATCACACATTACCAATATACCTATCAAATAATCAATGTCCTATTTAAAAAACACTATTTTAAAGTCTTATAATTGCCTGAAATTGAGATATGTTGTCGTAAGTGTCAAACTTATCAAAACCTGAAACTTAAACCAACATGACAATTATGTTTTATATATGTAGCACTGTACCAACGGACTACAACACATTCTTATAGCTTAGAGAGTGAAGTTACATGTTGCAGCTAAATGAAAGAATTATTCTTTGATTTGGAATAAATCAAATGTCACAGTAATAGGGTTAAATGTGTTGTGTGTGAAATGTGCTCATCAGTTATTTTCACCATACAACCAGTTCTTTTAATCGATTTCTTAAGATGCATAATAGCCTTGTCCTCCATGATTCATACTTTAAAGTTCTGAAAATTAAAATGTAATATTATGGTTACCACCTGGTGCATTATGTCTCACCCAAACTTAAAAAGAATATATTGGCTACATGGGCCAGTAATGCACTTAGTTAAGGCAGAAGTGAATGTATTAAAAACTCTTGTCCTTTGGTTATAGCATCTGGAGCTCAATGTGTATATTAGAATTTTATTAAATTTGTTTAAATGATAGTTGAAACAGAAAATCAGCGCACCATTAAGAAGACTGGAAAGCTGACATGTTTTCTTTGTATTGAAAGCTAATTACAATGGAGGCTCAAATTGACCTCATGGGTGAATCAGGTTACAATGTAATGTTTAACTCTAAATTGAAGATATACAAATGCTGTTTAGGGCCATTTCGTGATATAATTGTCATGATATGAATTGCTACATTTTCTTTTCCATACATTTTTGTTCTCTGGTTTTAACAACATTTAACAGATACAATTGATACAAGCACAGACTAGTGTGTGAGAACCAGCGATGGTCTTTACCTACCATTAAATCTTATGGTATAATATCTCAAAGCATGAGTGGTTTGAAGTTGCTGTTGCTGTATTTTCTTATTAGGAAATTCTGTTATAAACCAAGACATTTAAATTTAACAGGAGTCACACAAACATGATTTTCAAAAGTCCCAAATTGTGATTTTAATATGGTTGTTTATTCACTTTTCTGTAGAATCTAATAAATCCTTTGTAATTCAGTGGTAATACGCTGAAATGACTCACGTGATGGATCCAGTTTTATCATCAATTGTGAAGGCTTTTATGAACCTTATGAAATAGTGCCTGAAGAGAAAGAGTACAATCTGATCGGAAGCCATTCTTTTACAAATTATACTTCACTGTGAGGTGAACTGTATAGTAAAGAAGTTAAGGTGCATTTTACATTTAAGTAAGTGACTGTATCTGTTTCATGGTATGGTATATCCACTGTTTGTGCTGTGAAGTTCACCTTATGAATAACAGTCATGTCAAAATGGTGCTGTATTTAAAGCACAACGTTTTATATATGTGTATTAAAAATGAACTTCCCAGTGTTCATCCACAAAGTATCATCATTTTTTAATGTTATATACATTAAGTATTATAATAATAGCTATTGTAAATGTTTCTTTATACATATTTTAATATACATATGAGTATTAGATGTGATTTTATATGTAGTTATGTTTCCACAAGGTATTTCAGTTATTACTATCTTTAATCTAAGTCTTACACAGCATTATTTTCCTACTGTATGGAAACAGGCAGCAGTAGTTCCTGTTTTTTAAAAAGGGTAACTGCTACTGTTAGTAAATTCAGCCCTTTGCTGCAATCGTTCCCTCCCCCCATACACATTACAGCTAATGTATTTAGTCACAATTTTCTTTGTGTATTAGCATCCTCCATACTAATGTATTTTTATATTCTATTTGTTATTTCCTTTCTATATTTATTATTGTGTTCGTATGCTCATCTCTTGTGCTGTATCTGTAATTGGCCTTCTGGCTGTTGATACAGCACACTAATAATAAAACAATGAATTATGTTTATAACACTTAGATTTCCTTCCTTACCTAAAATACTTATGCTTCAGAATTATAATAATACTGCTGTATGAGAGAAGGTATGCATGGTAATGGATTATAACAGAAAAGAAAATGACCACAGTAAAATAAGTTATTAGAAATTAATTTTTGTCCAACTACATATTTGACAGGGACAGAGAATATAAATGAGGTATTACTGGTTCTTTTTTCTTATACTCTTTAAATTGCCAAGCACCTGTTGTGGTAACTTGAAAATAGCCTATGCATAGAATTAAAGTTATCATTTCAGGAATTTAGATTTATTCACATTTGTATGTGATGAAATGAGAAGTTATTTCTATTTTTGCATTATCAGAGATTATTTTCCAACACCTCCGATAGATATACCTTGTGGAAATATGGTATGTGTATTGTGTGCAAAGTAAAATCTATATTTGAGTGTATGCTTATATTTAGTATTCTGAAATTTGTTAAGCGTGTTGTGACAATAAGTGTAGCTTTTTATATAATTCCACATGAGATTAGTGTACAGAATAAAAATACTCTCTTGGTCCATTATGTATGTATTCAAACAACCCTACCTGTTATCTGTGTATTTTTTTTGTATTTATTACATTCCTTCCAGTTCATCAGTCTTATAGTTATAAAGATTTGTGTGTTGCAGTTCACCGTCATATAGGGCAAGCTGTGATACTCGGTACCTCTGAAGCACAAAGGATTAGAAAAGAAAATTGGAATGAATGTGAAATTCCAGTTTACATATTGAGTTGGCAGACTAGATGTTCTTGTCTCATTGTACATTTTCAGGCATGTCGGTTGCGACAAATTTTAAATACTCATTAATGTAAATTTAATAAAAATGTTGAACACCACTCATAACAAAGTATCCAACCTGGCCTGCCACAGCTTGCTAATAATACCTTAAGGAACTGCTAATAGCACAAATCACTTGTCCTCCAAGCTGGTATCTACATAAACAGGATAGCCAACCGATACACCGATGTTTGATATTAGTAAGAAATCCATAATTTGGGAATACTGTATTTTAACATTTAATTATTTGTATTTAAAATTAAAATACTGTGTGAATGAAATTGATTTTCTACACATTTTTCATGTGAACTAACGTGTATACAGAAGTAGCACATTGCATCAATGCCCAGAGGATCCATTTGTGTTACTAGTACAGATGACTAGCATTTTACCACAATTTTAAATTATTTATTCTAGCCTTATTTAATGGTACCATGAACAGAAGGAAGTGATTATTACCTAATACAAGGTATTATAGTGGCCTAGCAGAGGGAGATCACAAAAACACCAGTCTCTGGGCTAAAACTTGAACCTGGACCTCCCAATTATGAAACAAATGCTAACTGTGTGATTATGATGTTTGGTTAACCATGCCACACTTTTTCTCATTGGAATTTACTTCCAGTTAGTAGAATTTGTTGATAGCAGATAACAGTGTGGACAAATCTCATGTAGATTTCCTTGTGACTTAACTGAATACTGCTTCTTATTTTCATGCTGCTTTGGATTCACTGCAAGCTTTTGGAAACTCGTATGCATTTAAATTGTGTACATAATTTTCGTGAACCTTATACAACATTGTTCCCTTTGATCCAAATGTTCAACACATACAATTATTTAATGTTCTGACATATAGGTAATGTTACAACAATCTGTGGAAAATATAAACATTCTTTCATTAAATCTACTTAGATTCAAAGATTAAGAAATTTTTTATTATTCTTAATAACTTTTACACACACTCACTGTTCACTAAATTTTTTTTAACTGTAGTTTTAGCCCTGATAATGGTCATATTGAGCTTAAATATGTAACGAAAAAATGCTAGTGAAAAGTGAGTGTGTGTGTAAAAGTGACTGAGAATAATAATCCAGCATCATTATAACACACCAAATGCTACACTACAGTACTGCTTAGAAAAATACATGTTCCGTCCGTCATTAAATATATTTGTATTCCCGCTTTTCTTAACAACAGGCAATTATATTCATGATTAAAACTTTGTAGTATGAAATGCATTCACAATTGGCGGTACACCACCGATAGTATCGATGTTGGTGTTAACCTACGTAGTATATTCGATATGCGAAATCGATGTTTACAAAAGGAAAAGGTTAGAAACAGAATTGCAGAAGAAAGCCCAAGAAAGTATTGAATATGGCAACTGATGGGATGAAATCGGGTTCGAAAGGCATGACAAATGAAAACATTTTCAATAATTTTCAGGCGCTACGGAAGGAACATCTGCATATTGGTAATAAGATATCGGAACTGGAATTAGACCTTCATGAACACAAGTAAGTTGTTCAAGTATAACCTTCCTGGACGCAATGAGATATTTATGTCGATGAAATGGAGTTTGAAATGTTAAATCACAATTTTTTTCCGTAGAATCGTCATTGATACTTTGAAAGAAGTGGATGGTGATCGAAAATGCTTCAATATGGTTGGAGGTGTGCTGTGTGAAAGGACTGTAAAAGAAGTACTGCCCATTCTTATATCCAATCAAGAGCAGGTAAGATTTACTGTTTTCGTATTTTAATTGTTAGATACATTTACACAAAAGTGTGGAAAATCCTAATGTACATTACTTAGTCACTCAGAAGAATGAAACCTCAGAAGTGGATATTTCACCAAAATATCTTTGTAGATATAAAGTAGATTCCGATTAACTGGGACACATTGGGAGTAGAATAATTTGTCCCAATTATGCGAGGATCCACTTAAAGAGTTAAAAAGGTTTGTTTTTTAAGATTTGTCCCAAATAAATGGCTGCACCGATTAACTGATGGCCCAATTAACCAAAATTTACTGTAATAATAGTTTTATGATTTACTTCAGTGATTGCAAAGTTTTTTATATTTTTGAATGGTTTAATGAGTTATGATGCATTTGTAAATTAATTTTGTATATAGACCAAATATTACCATATTTGTAACAGTGGAGTTTGAGAAAATACAGAATATTGTATAATTCTACTTTTTTAATGGAAACATGAACTGTGATGTGTATCTTTATTTGTGTTGTGTGTTACAGATAGCCAAGTGTAGCAAAGGTTTACAAGGAGTGTTAAACAAGAAAAGTCAGGAACTCAATGACTTCAAAGAGAAACACAATCTTAAAATCCGAGGACAGGATGATCCTTCTGCACCTAATGCTGATGGTGATAAAAAGCCTCATACTGGCAATGTACTAGTGGTCAATCCAATGTAGTTGTCTTACACTGGCTTTCATATGACACTTGTCTCTCACACTGGGCTTTATAAGCTGTTTATCGTGTTGTGATAAAACTATTTACATGCAGCTGTGTGAACTGTTCAAGTGTATAAGAAGAAAACTTGAGTTTGTGTGTTGCATTAATAAATTGCCTATTTAAACAAATGTTTATTACTAATAGGAAGTTGATATTTTAACTAACTATGTTAACAGATTTTGTCAATGCAGAAAATGTAGATGTTCAGTTCATATTAATCTCAACTTAATGTTAAAATTATAATATGTGGCTTGAATTTTGAGAAAGGTCTAGTAAGTGGAGTTTGGATAATTTGAAAATGAGATCTACTCAAGGATTATTTTAAACATGATAATCATTTCATAAATATGAATAATTATATCCACTGCTTATAAATATTTCAGTTTTCTTCTGTTTTCATATTCCACAACAGCACAGTTCCTACAAATAAAATAGTGTAATATCATTTTATAAATTGAATAGGGGAAGGTCGTATGGTACTGGACAGCGTCCATTATCGGACAGTGCTTACTTTTCCGAAACATCGCTAGTTAGTGACACTTGTCAAGTATCAGAGTCTTGCCTCTGTTCGTCACAGACGACAGTCCTTAGTTTGAGTAAATTCGTTGAGCCGGTCAGCCACTGTGAGTGAATCTTTCAATTTGTACAAATTTTGAGCTACATTGTTTATTTTCGGAAGGCTGTATCAACTAATTCTGGTAAGTGAAATAATTATTCAATTTCTTTTACTTTAGTTGTATCAACTACAGACTGTATGTGTAGAATGATTTTGTAAGATTTGAGATTTTGTTCCAGCAGTAAGCACTGGATATACAGCAGACATTTTCTCTTTACATGTCTGTCATCTAATATCAGACAGTGTGGTTTCTGGTAGTACCGGACAAACAACAATTCTCGAAAAAATTGTTTAAGAATAAATACAATTTAGTTTGCTTCTGTTTTTACCACTAATGATTATATAAACTTTGTTATCCGTACTATTGGAGATATAACTGGTTTTGGCGTTGCTTTGTTTTATTTCAGGGTTTAAAATTAGATTTGCTATTAGAATGAACAGCTAGCCCAATACAAAAAAGAAACGGACAATGGACAGAAGATCAAATGAAACTTGCTATAGATAAGGTTACGAATAAGGAGATGTTGGTAAGGGAAGCAGCAGATACTTTTTCAGTCCCCATAATTTCTCTTGAAGATAGACTAACAACATTGCAAGAAGGGGGAATGGTGAAAATGACACCCAACATTGGTTGGTTTCAGAGAAATTTCATTGATGAGTTGGAGGAAGAACTAGTTGGTCAAATAAAAGACCTACAACAGCGTGCATCATCTGTTCAGAAATTTTTGACTAGGACTGGATACAATGTCTTTCTTGTGGTGGTTGGGCGCATGAAAAGTGAGCTGATATTGAGGGAAATATGTCATATTACAAATGTGATTCCTGCAGAAGACGTTACGATTCATAAAAACTGAAAGTTTCTATCAAAACTAAGAAAAACATTATAAGTAAAGTAGCGACCGATACTAGATGCCAATTTTTGTAATGTTGAAAATGTAAAAAAAAAAATTAAACATATTTTTCTTTACTTTTTTGACACCTTGTTTTATTCAGAATACATATTTCAGGAAGAAAAAAGTTCAAATTTGTGAAAATTAATAAGATTTTTTTTAATTTCACATTACACATCCCCCCACCGAAATCCTTAGGTATCTGGTACTATACAACCTTCCCCTACTGAACTGACCTGCCCTAAACTAACCTAACTTAACCCACAGCACCCTAACCTAACTTAACCCAACCTAAACTATCCTAACCCAACCCAACCTAAATAACCTAACCTAACCTAATTTAATCCAACTAAACCTAACCTAACCCAACCTATGGTAATCTATACCAACACAAATTAGACACTGAGTATATATTGTGACCTTCACATGACATTGACATATCTATGACCTCTAAATGATGTGTGCAATGTCACTCAGATTCCTACAGTTCTCTATGTATATGCGTGAGAAAATAGTATTTTGAATGACTTTGAAAAGTTTGAGGCCTCTAATTCTCAAACAGTTTATGTTATCTTGTCGTGGTCTTGACATGACCTTGATCTATTCGTGACCTCATTTTAACATGAGTATGGTCAACCAGGTATTTACGGTTTGGCAGAAATAAGCGTGAAAAAGTATGACCCTGAAAAATTTAAAGACCCCTATCTGGGAAAGTAGTGGGCCGATTTTGTCGTGACTTCCGTATGACGACCTATACGTGACCCCATCTTGACATGAGAATGGTGAATCAGGTATTTACGGTTTGGCAGAAATATGCGTGAAAATATATGACCTTGATAATTTTAAAGTTCTGTATCTGGGTAACTATTGGGCCGATTTTGACGTGACTTCGGTATGACCTTGACCTATACATGACCTCATTTGTACATTAGTATGGTCAACCAGGTATTTACGGTTTGGCAGAAATATGCGTGAAAATATATGACCTTGGAAAATTTAAAGACCTGTATCTGGCAAACTATTGGGGTGATATTGTCCTGATTTTGCAGTGACCTTGGCCTAACAGTGACCTCAATGTGACATGAAAATAATTACTATGATAACTACGATTATGAAGATGTGAGGGCGAGAATAAATGTACACATACTGATCTGACCTGCCCTAAAGTAACCTAACTTGACCCAATCTAAACAAACCAAATCTAACCCAACCTAAACTAACCTTACCCAACCTAACCCAACTCAACTCAGATGATCATCAACTTCTTCACCGCGGTGAGAACCCCAAATAACATAAAGGTCTAGTTAATCCTGTCATCATCACATTGCCCAAGAGATCGTTCTCCCCTGTTGTATTTTGAGATGGTCCGATGCTGTCACCAGATTAAGTTTTGTTATTTACTCAGGTAGAACAATTAAAGAGGACTGCAGTGCAGCCATCTGCGCTGGAAGAAGATACTTTTTTTGATAACAATGAGATGTTGAAACATGGCATTGATAAAAAGAGACTAGAATAGTGGAGACATGATGCAATGTCAGCGGTGAGAAAAAGAGAGATGTAAGAGAATTTGTTATCGGATTGTGGATAAATATTTACTCATGATTACAACAGGAGCGCGACTAGGAAGAGTCCACGACACAGTCGGACAAAGGCATTCATACTAGTCGGATGCTAGCGAAACGCAGAAAGTATATGTGAGTATTCTCAGCTTCGTTATTTTCCTTTTACCTAGTGACGTCTAATAGAGAAATAACTTATCCTGAATGTGTTCATGTACTACCCGCTTTTAATAGTCAGCACAATGGAATTTATTTGTTTCGTATGATTCTCAAATTAAACAACGATTATTTCCCTAAAGAGGATTAAGAGAACTATCTTAGTAATGATGAAGTGTTGTGTTTCTTTGCGGTAGAACATGAATCTTTAAATATTATTTAGATTTGCTTCAGCTTGAACGGGCTAACTGGGCATTTTGGTAACTAAACTTCAACTTATGGACTTCGTGAGGATAAATAACATGAAATCTGCGTAATGAAGGGTATGATGAATAATTTTAATTATTTTTTATAGAAGTGACTTTAGGTTAGATCGGTTTTTAAAGTACATCTTTGGTTGTTTTTCTTCTATCGAATTTTCTACAAGGTTGCCTTTAATCTTCTGTAAATATGCGTGATCATGTTGCCTTTGTTTCTGGCGCGGATTTCACCGAAATAACAACACTAAGCACTGCCTGTAAAAAGGGATCAACTAACAGGCCTACCGGAAAGTGACACGATCCTCCTATAAATGTCTTGTGTTTCCGGTGCCAGATTATCGTTACACTGGGCGAAGAAAGTCATTGTAAATGGCTAGAATGTTACGAGGGAGGCGGACTCTGATGGATTCTTTGAAACAGAGAAGAGACTGGGGAAAATGATCAAAGGTTTATTTACACTGATTACACGTCACGACAAAATATTATTCTCCGCATTTCAATTGATTAGTTCACACCAACCATCAACGACACGTCACAGCGCGACAGGCCGAAAATCTCGACGATAATATTTTATGCGTCTGAGCCGGTCCGTGTCGGTAAGTGTGAACAGGCAGACAATTGTTGGACATAGACAAAATAGAAATCTGGGATCAGTGATAATCATTATAAGTAATAAGTATGGCAACTAATAGTCATGAAATTTCACCAACCAGGTAATCTACTTATGTGATTCTAAAGGGTTCGTCACAAAATTTCGGGACACGACTCTGCTTCCGTCTTCAGACGAAAATACCTGTAAAGGTAGGTCCTACAGAAGGGACTACAAGCTTTGTTTTAGAATTTTAAACGATAAATGTAGTCAGGAATAACACGAACATTGAAAGTTATTTATAAATTAGTCTATTAATTGTAGGCCTAAAATCAGCCAACCTTTGTTGCGTTAACTGGTGATGAGACATGAGATCGTCTGTCGTTAAGCAATTTTTCCAATTATTTCATTATCAGTTTTCGTATGAATTGTGAGGCACACGTATTATCTTACAAGCTAAAACAGTATATAACGGATAATTGGATATACAACGTATATTATTCATTTACAGCGCCACTGTATAAATAACTACACAGTTATTTAATTTAACTGTTTTGTATTTATTCACTTAATAGCTATGCAATGTTATCAGTCAAGGAATAATCGGAGAGGGATAAATTTGTTTGCTATGCATCTCCTAATGCTAGCAATAAGTCCATTACATACAACGTTTTTATAATTAAATATAATTTACTTTTTGGTGGCATGATAATTATTTAAGGGACCCAGATTCTTTTCCACGTTTCTTCCGGCGGAAGTGACATCACTTATGAATTCATGTTTTTAATTACTTTACTAATAATTTAGTTACTAAGCAAAATAATGGAACTATAAAGATAAAATGGTTTATCTGTTGCCCCGTTTCCAAGAATGTGAGACTCCCAGTATTATAGAAGTTCACGTGCAAGATAACAGTAACCAAGCTGACAGTCAGAAAACCATTTTGCTTGGAACTTGACCGTAAAGAAATGTATAATATGTCGAAAAAATATTTCGGAATTGTAAGAGAAATTCTGGTAACAGGAGAAACTGCTTCGTTGGTCCTTTTGAAGTTCAAATTGGAGAAAAGAGGCTAAGAGGACTACAATAAAGAAATACCTTCCTATCATCAGAATACTGCGACATCAAAGATATTTTCCATTTTATAAGAAACTGAATTGCAGGAAATCATGGAAAGTATTGAATGACCAACATAAACTTCATTGTTCTGCATTGTTAACATGACTTTAAACATTACTTTGTTTTTTTATATTACATGTTGAAAGTGTAATAATTTTTACGTTGAACAAACAGGCAGCTTCTTTTTGTGAGAGACCTTTCATGAATGATGCACTCTGGTTATATCATCCTTAATTTTAAATATCAATGCACTAAACTGGAAGCTAAAATTTTAATAACATATTTATTTATCTTCTAGCAATTTTCTAAACAATGGTACACGTCCTCCCTCAATAATTTTTTCTTTGTTATATATGACAACCAAGTAGCTACGTTTAATACAGGATAAATCACACTGTTGGTCTTCGTCTGACAGCAAAGCAATATATGCTAATTGTTTATTTAAAAGCCGACTTCTGTTTTTAAACATAATAAAATATATGACAGCCCCGGGCAGAAAGTGTTTTACTGTACTTCGTTTAAGATACTTGTAGAATGAAGACAAACGAAGGTACCGGATGCCACAAGTTCAAAGCCTTGTACACAATAAGCTAAAAGTAATAGCAGGGAATTTGCGAATTTCTGGCCACTAATCACTGCCCTACTGACAAAATGTGTGGTGTACATTAAACAATATCATTGTACATATACTTTTATGGCTTTACATATTTCGTAAATGTATGCTGCTCTGCTGTGAGAACCATTTTTAAAGAAACGTCAGCTGTCAATGTTAGGCCGAATACTTGAATGCTGTCTGTCCACAGTCCATAGCGCAGTCGAATGGTACTTCTGTGTGGCTGGTGAAGGTAAATTGTTGTAAGTTTGGGCCTTGCTTCAGCTACACGTACGTCTGCAGCGCCCAACTTACGAAGCACAAAGCATTTTAAATATTTGCGTACGAAAGGTCATGTAAGTGCTCTTATCTTCCTTGTATTAATATAATGCAAATAGCGTACTCGCACGACGTATTAGCAATGCAAGTTTTAAAGTATGATGCCATTAACATATGAGCCATAAACTGTCTTAACTTCGAGAACAAGAGAGAGGAACATAACAAAGCCAGGAGTAGGTGAGTGATAATAAACTTTAATATGAGCAACATAACTTGGTGAAATACTGAATGGAAAGAACTTGGTTGACTCTGTCCTGTCCGGATGTCAAGGTTACCATTTGCATTTTTTTTTTCAGAAACGGAATGATTTACTGACTGAACTTGTTAAGTGACTGAATGTTTAATAAATGAAGAAATAAAACGATAAACTGAGAAGGTCGATATTTTCGATCAGTCGATAGTTATCAGTTTCAGACATAAGAATAGACTATGTGGACGGACGTTAACTTTGCTTTGTAGATATCCTTTTAAATGTATTAACATCTTTCTCCACAACTTTCGATTCTTATGTACAACTGTCACCGTTAGTGTTAACAACTTTCAAGCGTTGTCTTTTACGTAATGCAGCAACTTTTGTGTTTCCCAATAGCGTCAAAGAGAAAAGCGCCGGACTTAAAGAAATAAGAGATGTATACAAACAAATGAATGTGCAAACATGTGACATGCTCCAGTCACCTGGATGTCTCAGTAGTAAACAAGTATTAGCTTATGTTATATAAGAGGAGTAAACTAAGGCGATAATTCAAATAATTTTATGGTAAATGGTTTCAAAGGACAGCGGTAACACGTAGTTGAGTCTGTGAACTGGTTATATCTATATTTTTTGGTCTATGTTAATTTTACAAGTGTCGCAACGTTCAGATGGACAATACGGGTCTCCCATGTACGCCACACACCATAAACAAAGTGGATTGACAGTACTCAGCCACATTTTGAACGAGGCCACTCTCTATGTTGGACTACTCACGGTTGGCGCCGTTATAAGTAAAATCATAGTATTTGCAAATTGTCGAAGACTTCATAATAGAAAAATGCCTCTGAGTGCTTCACAACTAGCATTTACGAGGATATTTATTAATAGTGTTGCCATAGCTACCTACTCTATCTTTATTTCCTCTCATCTTGAGAAAAACGATGCCAATTTTTGCGAAATCCAAGAGATGAAAACGTCTCTCTGAGCCAGTCAGTAGAGAAAATACAGTTTTTTTTCTTTGGGCTACACACCTCGTGTATTTGGGGTCGGAGTCAGAAATTCGTGGTTACCAAGCACCACACATTTTCATTTTTTTCTTATTTTCTTGATTTTAGTCTTCGGATTACAATCGCTCAGCATACAGAGTCTATTAAATACTTGTGAGATAGGTGGATACATTTTGAATGACAGTCAATACACAGGATTTTATAGTCGGTAGTTACGTAACTTCAGTTACTTAGGGTTGTTGCATCGACTCGGAGGTTATGGCATAGACGATCCTCGCGTGGATGGAGAAAACAGAAGCTTCAACTTTTAGTCTGTGAATTTGCCTGGAAAGACTGGAAAAAGTCTAAGGTTTATTCTAGCAATTTCTTGTAGGGACTGAGGAAAACTATGAAAAATATCAGTTATGACATCTATCCTACAGCCGAGAATCGAACGCATTACATACCAAATACGAGTGCTAACCAATGAACTCCGACGTTCATTTCTGATTATTTTATTTCCTTTTGGCGAAGTCCTTCTTCATGAAGCTAAACTGGTGAATAATTTCATCGTATTTTACGAAACCCGAACCAGATAAATCCAATACGAATCTTAACATCGTATTTCTTTCAAATATACTTAAAAATTACCTTCCCATCTTGTCGTTTCAATATCGAAAACTCGTAATTTTATCGTTGCTTACAGCCCACGAAAAATCCATCCACGTTTGAGGTCCTACTTAAAATTTTGTAAAAAGCTAACTTTTTATTTTTCTTTAAGCTGAGTGGCCAGCTCCGCGACTTCTCATCAAACGTCAAGGACATTTTAAAATATTTTAAATCAAGACATCAACACTAAAATTCAGGCCAGGTTTTGTAAATTGTAGAAGTACAACGTCAGAATAAGATTTCGTTTTTCAGAATGGAGGTTCTGATATTATTGACGCTGGCGACTTCGCTGTTGGCGACGGCCCCGCTTGACCCTACGCCGCAACTTTGCCTGAGTGATGCGTCTGGAGGCCTGGCGTGCAGATGCACCGATAGTCGTACTGAGCTCGACGAGCATCTGTGGGAGGTGGACTGTTCCTGTCGCAACTTGACTGCCTTGCCCTCAGAATGGCAGATATTGCCAGACGCGCGCCGTTTGGACCTCTCGCGGAACCAACTCTCACTTCTTAGAGACGGTACGAGCAATCCATTATAAATATCAACACGAAAATTTAAGTTTTCGTAATTTTTTTACTTCTTTATCGTAAAGGTTTGTTTGGACCTATGAAAATCTCTCACCCTGAAAAGACCCTTGTCGACTGCTTATGAATATATTTGCACCGTGAAAATTCACGGTGCCATAATAAGAATGGACCCATTTGAACTGATTTCGGATGAGCTACGTCGTTTAGAGCTGTACTGACCAAACACACGCGTACACCATGAGCTGGTTCAACACATTTTATCTTATCTCTTATTTAATGTATCTCATCGTATTATCTTTTCCCCACGTTCGTATAACGACATTATCAGTCTTATCTGGAATATTTCGAGTCGCCAAGCCAGTCAGATCTTTATAAGCCTACTGTACTTCATCTGTGACCGAATGTTTTGTTTTCCAGCCTGCTATCTGAACATGTAAAGATTAAAACACACAGAAAATAAATGTGCTTGTTGTTTTGTGTCGGTTTCAAATTTGGTGTCTTATGTTAAGGGAAGAACACAAAGTGGAGATGTAATATGAACTGTTCTCTTATGTTTGTTTTAGAGCAATTTTCTCGTTGGGGTAATCTAGAAGAATTGAGTTTAGCACGAAATAAGTTTACATCCCTCAACGAAGCTGCTTTCTCTCGTCTCGCGAATCTTCGTATGTTGGATCTCAGCTACAATATGCTACAAACTCTACCAGTTAAAATTTTCGAAGGTATTTCGGTTCTATCCACACTTAATTTAGAAATGAATCGCTTGCAAGAACTGCCTCCTTATCTGTTCAGTTCAACGTCACATCTGAATTCTCTGATCCTCAGTTATAATACTGCTTTGGGCAAGTATCTCATGAAGTCGACAGAGTTTCTGACCATCGTCCTTCAGAGAAACATTAGTTCTCTCGCGTTAAACAACATGAGTATTGAAAGAATTCCAAATGGTCTCTTCAACGAGGCCAGTCAGCTTCATCATCTCTCTCTGGCTGACAATCCGTTGCGTGTCATTGACGTACTTCCAGCATCACTAGAGAGTTTAAATCTCTCAGGTATAGACGTTGAAGTTCTCGTGTCAGGTGACTTCATATCTTACCCTAAACTCAAGAAGTTGCAATTGGATCGTTTGATTCATTTAAGAAACGTTCAGGAAAATGCATTTGAAGGCCTTGCATCCTTGGAAGAACTGACGATGGAGAACTGTATTCAGCTGCATTCATTTGACGAACGCGCGTTTGGCGGTCCAGATTCTGTACCCATTCCATTAAAACGTCTGTCACTTGCTCGTAGTGGGCTTCATACTCTCAGCAACAAGACATTTTTGCTACTGCAGCCAACGTTGAAGCACGTGGCTCTCCAGGGAAATTCTTGGCGGTGTGACTGTAATTTAGCCTGGATTCATCAAACGAATTTCTCGCTGGAGAACACAGCGTACTTAAGGTAAATACTTAGTTTATTAAATGAATGAAAAAAGAAAAGATGTAACTGCTTTACATGCTCAATTTAAAAATGTAATGAATTTATATCATTCTTTTGGAAATGTAGTTACTGGCCATTGTTTTTATAAGTCTAAACTGCAGGTGCAAGGGGCATATGTTGTTGTGTCTTATTGTAGGACCACTGCCACGGGGTAAAAACCCATTTGCAGTTAATAATAACTAATAAAATAATATATTGACAGTTAGGACATTAATTGTGGTCGACACAGTTACTGTTTTTGTTACTATGGGACGCGGAGAGTATTTGCACGTTGGAGAGATATAAGGTTTAGCTATTGTGAAAGGCTACTTAGGAGATCTAAAGCATAATTACAGGGCCATAAAATTTGTGTATGCCATCATGATTCCATTTTTTCTCCCCTTTTTACTTTCGATTGTTATTTCCTCGCTGCTAGATGCCACTGCGCTGTACTGTAGAATGGACTGGAGGATCTCAGTCCCTGTGCCTTCTGTTCTTGCAGGTGCTTTTCTCCTGATGAACATCACAACAGACTGATACCTTCTTTGGATCTCAAAGATTTTGTCTGCACCCATGAATCTGCAAAGCAGAATACGTACTCTGGTCTTATTGTTGTGATGGACATGTTTCTGATCCTGGTCGTTGTCATTGTCGCTTGTGCCATCCTGATGACCCTCTGGCGCCGTGGTTTCATGCTCTGCACACCACGACAAACCGTGGGAAGGTATTCCCACGTAACTATCGATCCGAGCCGTGCAGAGCTGGAGTGGGACGACAAAGATCTGGACCACATCTGGAGTACGCCCAATGCCAACAGGCAGAATGTTCCTCGAGGGCCTTGATCCATGTCTAACTGATCCTGCTGTGACGTCACTGGTACGACAAGAATGCAGCTCAATATTTCGTCCGTATAGGAAGACTGTGTTTCGTTTTAAAAGAGTTGCCTGGCTCTGTCATTGAAAGATGTTCGTTACTGAATGCAATCAAAGCGATGTGACGCACACAATCGGTGGCAGCCACGACTACACTCGGTTATTAATTAACACTCAACGAAAGGAAAAACTAGTCACTGTTAATATTCACTTGTTTGTAGTAACAGTTTCTCTGGACTTATTTGTTGTGAGTAAAACTGGTATTTTCAATCGTAAAAGGTAAATTTACGATCTGTAGCTTCCATCTTAAGATAAAACATTTGCTGAAAGACAACAAGGGGCTAGCTGTGAGAAATGTGGCTATTTTTATAAGTTTTGGCTCGTCTTACAGCAACAGTAATGAACGAATGAATGAATAATATTTTACATCAATTAAGATTATATATATACACCATTGTACGTATATATTTATAGTTGCTGCTATGTGTAATATAAATTGATACAAGTGATTACAAAGCTATTTTATTAACGTGGATAGATGTGCTCCTTTCCTTGCTTTGTTTACTCTTCTAGTTATGTATCACTGTAATTTCAAACTTAACATTGTCCACCATATGAAAATGCATAGCAGTTTTCATCTCAAGTGGATATGGGTCATGCACTCAAATTCAGAACTCAGCTATGGACCTGTATAAGATAAGAGTCATTGATAACGTCGCTATCTGTTGTGTGTCGGATATTCTTCCAAAGAAAACAATTATCTTATCTAAAGCTAAACATAAGTCTTATACGTACTTGTAATTCTCACTAGCGCCAAGACTTACAGCGTGATCAGGACCAGCGAAAGGGTGTCTGGCGCCCTAAACGAAACTTCCTTCCCCCAGTCAACTGCCGAAAATGAATATTGTGGGCAGTTATCATTTTAACATCTTACAATTTAGTCTTGGTGTGGCTCCAGATCTCGTAAATGTGAAAGAAATTCACGCTCTTCTAATTCTTTTTAACAGTGAACTTGTTACGAGAAAATAATAACGTTCCTTACAAATTAATGTTTGTGTATACAACTTGTAATCTCTTATTGACAATCAGTAGACAGGGGGTGGAAACTTAAGCGAAACAGCGCCTCTTATCACAAAATCTGGGGTAGAACTGAAAGTGACGAATAAGGGTGCCCATTCACGAGGCAATCCGTCGATTGTCAAATTATCGACTTCACTACACACACATTTTTGTCATATATGATATCAATTATTGTTTTCGGTATTTTAGAAAGCCGCAAATACCTTATTCATTTCTTATAATTTCTCTTGTCGATTTTTTAGCTTTTTATTAAAGTTTTGTCCTAGGCTACCGCTTATTTTGCCCAATGGCTAAACAGGCCGTGTAAAGACTATTCTTACGTTTCAACTGTCCACGAGTATTTTGGCTTTCAGTGTCAAATATACGTTGCTTATGAAAGTTAATTATCGACATAAAGCTTTATCGTTTTTCAGAATTTTTCAACACGAGAAGGCATACATATGTAGCTATTTTTTGGCACAGAAGCTTTGTTAAACGTCCTTTTTCGGGCTTGGCTTGGTACTGCAAAGAAATAAATCTTTATCTCTCACAAATGAGATGCTACTGTAAATTGCTCGTTTGTCATTCATATTTAGTAACAAACTAATTATAAACTATGAACTTTAAGAATATATTATGCTTTCAGTAAAAGCAAAATCAAATACGTATTTTATTTACAGAAGATGAAATGGTAATAAAATGTGTGATGCGGGTGTACTTTCGGGGTTTAACACGTTTGGAAAGAGACGTAAAACTCTATCAAAGAGGCTCCCCGTCTTCAGTGAGCTATGAAGATGTGCCAATAAACCTTAACATCGAATCAAATTTTAAAAACTAAATTGCTGTTATTCGGAGGGGACATGAAGTCCTGAAAAAATATTAACAGTCTTCGTACAGATCGGAGATTCTTAAAGCGTAGTGTGACTGGAATAAAAGCACCAATCTGATTTGTTTGGTGAGCTCAGAATCCCCAGTTGATCCCCGGACAGTCAGTGCCTGACGTCCATTGCGTCAGAGTTCGGAAGACGATGCCTCAAAAGAAATGGTGATCGCATTACTGAGCGGCCACTACATTAAGAATCATAACCGTCGACTAAATGATCTTAATGCCTTCACAGTTTGAGAACAGTAATGCATTTAGGTGCTTGAGGCCCAGAATCCTCGTCCTAATCTCTTCTTGTTCTTCCTTATAATCATCAGCTGTCTTGTGTTTAATTGTTTCATATACACAATATTTCGATACGACATCTTCCTGTTTTTTCAACGAACTATTTGTGGTATAGACAAATTAGTAGATCATCACGTAGTCCACTGTTCCTGTTGTAACCAACATACTTTTTCATACTAGCCACGAGTGGGTCAGTTGCGGTCGAATGGTTAGTATTCTTATTTCATACTGGGGAGGTACCGAGTTCAAATTTCGGTCCGGGACTGGCTATTTTGACTGAAGTTTCTCGTGGTGGTCCTTAACACCTCCAGGCAAGTCCTCGAGTCAATTTTAAATCAGTCCCAACTGCTTCCTTCCACATTCTTATCAATTCATTATTGACTAATCGTGTGACCCTGTACAGAGATATTCAAAGCGTCTTTAAATAAAACAAACTAAATAAACACAAACACTTTTAGGCTGCCATATTAACAAATAAACGTGTGCAAGTGGTCTATCTATTAAGTTTTGGTTTTCAGTACTATCTTACGAAGTTGAAAGATAATAGGTCGATTTTGATCTTCTGGATTGTAACGCTGTGTGGATGTGTTGGTACATCCCAACGTTTTCTAGGAATATCCTTCCTCCATCTTCAGGGTTGAAGATGGAGGCAGTGTGTTCCTCTGAGACGCTGGTGTCTAGCTACAAATTTACACGGCGTCGTAACCCAGAAGGCTAATATCAACATCTTCACTTCGTGACCAACTCTGAGTTGCTAAGAATCGATATGCTCAAAATGACAAGAGGACTTAGCACTGATGCATTGAGTTTGACTTACACAATATGTTGGTTCCCAATACCCTTCAAGTTTCGGGAACTTGTATAAGAATCTGCGATCACGGTGTAATATTACAAATGACGATTCAAACTTACCGCTGGGGAAACGGCTGTTGTACAAGTGTCGCTATTCTGTTTGCAGTGACTGCTGAATCGAGGCTGGGTAAATATAGTTCTTCCTTTCGACGCTAGAGGTGCAACGACGTTTGTACGTAACAGAGAACTGGTCATACTGATTAAGTGTAATTCGAAATGTGCCTACAGAGTGCATAGATAGGCAACGTGATATGCTAGACATTTTCTGGAGGTACGGTTCGCATCTTGGCTGAGGCACGTCTAACAGCTTCCTTCCTGACCGATCCCCAAATTTTTCTCTTTGCCTTATGATGAATTACAGGAAAACTTTAATTCTGTGCACGATAACCTCCTATCAAATCTTTACCTAAATCTAAGGAGGAAAATCCTTCTTGAGAAGCCAATAGTCGTTTATGTAGTCAAGAAAATGTCTCGTCTCTCGTGGAACACAGAAGTTCATAACCGTTTTTACAACAGACCGCCACTAGACTATGTCCTGAGCCTCATAAATCCGGTCTACACTCACACAAACTATTTTAAAAATATCATTTTGATCACCTGAATAATATAGTAATGACGAGGAAACATAGACGTATTGTGTATTGTTTCTTCAAGATGTTTAACATCTCTCATTTTGTTATCGATGTTTGTTTTGTGAAGATGAAAAATCCTTATGGCAGTAACTGTGTCGTTAGATAACATGGGCTTCTGCGAGCAGCGTACGTGGTTCAGTAGCATGGTGTGTCGTACTTTTAAATGAAAAACCTCGGTAGCGAGGGTTGCCTACCCTTGGGGTTGTAGGCGGTTTGCGGAGACCTATTCTCCGGTTACTCGCGTGTAATGAGTGGGGAGGTTGACGGCGGAGCCCTGTAATTGGCGACACTCATTAGAGCTCGTTACGAGAACCTGGGTCACATTACAGCGCAAATCGGGCGCTGGCAAGGTCATGATCAAGTGACCTCTAGTTGCCACGCGAAGAGCAGACAGAAACGCGGACCAAGAACAACGATTTAGCGTACATCATTAGTCTTTTAGCATATTTATTGAACACGTGGATAATATTAAAATGAATCTTTGGGAAACAGTGGGACCGTGTGGATTGCATTTATCTGGCTCAGGACAGGGCTCTTTTGAACACGGTGATGAACCTTTGGATTTCATAAAATACTGTCAGTTTCTTATCCAGTTGAGGGGCTATTAATTCATTGAAAATGTATTGATTCATTAAACAGACCTATGTAGTCTATTTTCTACTGACCGTACGGTGTTCCTAGGTGCCCGTAGACTGCCTGGCTCCAGATAAGAATCGTTCGAATGAGACGTTTGTATTCTTGAATTGGAATTTAGCTACCTGTATCACTACCATCTGGTGGTCACATTCCAACAACAACATACCGTCCGAGACGCTTCCGTCCCATGTCTAGCGTCCAATACAGTGCTTCAATCGAGATTCTTGCTACGCTAATTATACTACTCAGATTACAAGCAAGCGAAAAGAGGCTACAAGATTCCTGAAATTCCAACACAAAACCATAATGCAGACATGTAATGTGTTACAACGCTTTTTCGCTTCTTTGCATATGAGTAACTTTCACAGACAATAATTAGAAGATTCATTGAAAATATTTCATAAATAGATTTGTTATATATTAATGTTTATGACGATATGTGTCTGTTTTACATAAATTATTGTAATCGTTGTTATTGTAACGCTGTTAAGGAATTTTCCATAGTAACAATATTAACAGATTCTCGGCCTTATAATTTCCATAACTGAAAGTAAAGCCACTGCCTACTATACGTGGTAAAAAAATTTCTCCAGTTGAGGGGATTTTTTCATTGTGTGTAGTTCTTGGCAGTGGAAATTTATTAATAATATCTTTAGTCGTAGAATCGAAACCTACAGTCAATACACCAGTTCCTAGTTTATCCCCTTAAAGCTGAATTTAATCTAAGTAATATTTAAGAATTCAGTTCCCACTGTAAAATAAAACAGTACTAAGATCATCTGGTTAAGGATGTTCGAGAAAATAATAACTGTTTAGACTGAGGATCTTACTAAACATACAAGTACAATATTAATAGTTACCGATTGTTAAAACAGCTGTGGACATATATTTGCCACTGGGTTTTAAGGGGTCCATACAAGTTTTAAATAAAAGAGTAATTTCCGCTTACCACTAGTAAAATTTAACAAAACTAAGGAGACCTAACTTTTTATGGGGCATAATATATGAGAGACTGTAGTAGATTTATACCAAACTAAATCATTTATAGAGTTCTCTTATTTATAAAATGGTAACACTGTGTGATTACATTTGTCTGGCTCTGTACAGCGATCGGAGGTGGGTTCTAATGAAAACCGTAGCTACCCATCGGATTCGATAAATTAAA